GGCATGCAGAATTTCGATTCCTAAATGGCTTCAAGGACATTTCCCTCATAAATTTGCATTCGCCAATCGATTTTTGTCCTCTTTTTAAATTGCAATTTGAATTGTTAGGGTTGGGAAGTAATACATTTTTGGTTGATATAATTGGTACAATCTTGTGAGCTCTGAATATATTGCAAAAATTATAAATAAGAAAAGCTCTGTAATTCAAATTTTTTGCCTTCAATAAAAGACAAGTATATTTTATAGATATTAAAAGTAAAAACTACAACTTTGTTAAATTTTTAATACGTAATTCTTGCAAATGTATTTAATATTATTATAATGCTAATTCATGACTTTTCTATTAAAAATAAGTTCTGATATTAAAAATAAGTTCTGCACCGATTTTGCTTGTGTATCAAAAAACTTTTATTTATTCTCTTTACGAAAGCCATATAAAGCCATTCATAAATTGAGTTGTTTTGCCAAAAGTTTTTCTTAAATTATAGCCACATCAAGTGCTCAACTTTCGCGAATTTCCCCCACTAGACCGAAAATTTTCATTTCCTCCAGCGCGACATGCGCTTATCGAGGAAACAATCAATACGCTTTCCGCAATTTTCCGGGCCAACATTTCCACCCACAATTGTTCTTTGTTGCACTGGCGGTGTTCTCCAAAAAAACGCAATCTGGAGGAGTGCCGGAAAACTCGCAACTAGTTGCTCTTTGTAGCAGCAAACTAAAAGCCAGACAAATGTTACAGCCAGAAAATCGATATTCGGTAGAGTTGGGTCAGCGGAAAAAATGGGAGAAAAGCGAGAGCGATTCCCTGGCAAGTGAAGCCAATGAATAACAATGGGGGAGTGAAAAGTTGGGGGAAAAATGGGAAAAACCCAAGGAGGAAACACCCGCTACAAATACTGTGTCGACGCGTCATTTTGTCGCGCGTTGGCGCCACTTTGTTTTATTTATGAATCTCGGGCAGACAGTCGGGCAGGGTCCATCCTTCCGTCCCCTATGAACCCCATTGCCACTATTTTCCTATTTTTCCGACCCCCCGCAACTGGTTCTATTTGCTCAACTGATTTGAAGCACTTGAAGATGCTGATTCATAGAAAGAAATAAGAGTATAGTCAAAAAATAGGTAAATAATTATCTTCTTAAGAGTGTTTATTTTTATCAAATTTCTATGACTTTAACTTTGTTTTCAAATTAACAAATATACTTTCAGAAATTAAAAAAACAAACATTTTAAGCATTGAAAATATCTAGATTTCTAATATTGGAAATCAATTTAAGGGATAAATCTCGCTTATTGGTATATTCATTCACACTTAATTTGTTAAAATAATTCTATGGTATCCTTTGAATATTTCTTTCTATACTTTCAGTGTAAAAGCTGGACTTTTATGGCTGCTTCTAGTTTTATTTTTGCATTTTTATTTGATATTCTCCATTTCCGTTTGCTGCGGATTTGGGTCACCCTGCCTCCCACCCACGCATGCCATTCCTCGAAGACATTCACAGTTATGTGCTCTGGTTTTGCCACGGGAAATTGAATTGTTTTCCTTTGACAGAACATTCAGTTCGTCCTCCTAACTTTGTCTGGTAAACAAGTTGTTTGAATGAGGAGTAAGGGCGGTAGCTTTGCAGAGGGTTAGGTGACACAATTTTGCTGGATGAAGTATTAATAAGATGGAACTTTTGTGAAGAACGGCCCGAATTTGTTTTATTTTATTAGTAACATTTGACTCTTATCAGAATAACAAAAGTTACTCCATCGATTCATTTGATATTCATTTTATTGATGTAATTGGATCATTTGTCGTGACATGGTGATAATGAATTCCGAATGGAGTTTGGGTTTAAGAGGAAAGTTTAAATAAATACTGTATTTCAATGCAAAAGGTTAAGCTGACTTAAAGTTTTTACGTATGTCCACAAATGTCTAAGAGCTTTATTACTTTTATTCCATTTAAGTCGCCTAGATCCCACTTTTTAACCCCATTTCAAAAACGAGTTCAGTACGTGACAATGGCCAGGAAACTTGACTTCCTCCTTCGGTCCCAGCTATTTTGTGAACGGGGTCAACTATTTGGCTTTGCTCTAGTTGTCCCCCTTTTTCGTTTCCTATAAAAAACAGAACTCATGATGAACTACTATCCACCCCATTCAGGTGGGCTCCCCTTTGGCAGGTGTCTCACTGCTAATTGCCGTCATTTCGTGTGCAAATTGTGCGCAAATAATTGATGCCCCCTTGGGTACTCACATTTCATTCACCTCTCCTCATGGTCAAGACATTCGTGTTCAGTCAGTTTTTTCCTTACTTTTGTCTATTGATTTTCAATGAGTTTTGAAATTTACAAGCTATGAGTGTGAAACTGACAGCAGGAGCGTTCGGAAAGTTGAAAAGGTCATGGGAATTCCAAAACTTAATCGATCTATTGGTTGGGAATAATTCGCGATGAACAATCTGGACATGCATGTGTTCCTTTAAAGGTTACATTTGTATCGGTTTTACTTCAAATATTTATATGTCCCAGAAAAATATATAAAATAACTATATTAATGAAACTTCTTCTTTTATAAATAAAAATTGTATTCTTGAAACGAATATAACATTGGTGTCCTAATTTGTCTGAGTTTCTCAAATAAAATATAAAATTAAAAAATAAAATGAAAAGGTTACACAAAACCACTTTCGATTAACTCTAGATATCTTAAAATGACTTTCCTAACATCTTCCCCTCTTTTACCTTTATTACACTCCCCCGCAATTATATTTTCTTCGAGTCACAACTAAATTTCGTTTGCTTCCTGGCACGCTTCAATTGCCAGGACACCACATGTGTCGGGATCTCATTCAAATGCTCAGCTAAAGTGTCAAAAAGTGTGTTTGAAAATATGCTCTTTATTTTCTAGTGCCGACAACTCAATTAAGGATAAGATAGGTCACAAATGGAGGATCCTTCCTGGTGATCCTTCGGATGCAACAATTAGAAATCTCACCGTGAGGGCAGGTAGAGAAAACGTTTGCTGACTGAGGGGTAAAAGTGTGCCCTCCCGGTCCCGCACTTAGTTACGCAACATTTGCGACGATCCCGAGATAAGGATATCCAAAGGTCCTTAAAAAAACGTAGGCGTCGGGCAGGCGTTTGACAATTTTTTATTGTTTGTAAATTTAAATGCGTTTCCCTTGAACACAGCTGTTTCTTTATAGATAACCCCGAACCGTCGACAGTTTGTTAATTATTTCATCCCAATCCAAATGAGTTTCCTTAATTTCCCCATGTTTTAAATTAAGTTGTTGTCACATTAGTCTGGCGCTCCTTTTTTGGCGTTGAAAGTGCTTCAAGTGGCAGCTCATTAATCCTGCGTCTGCTTTTTCTTTCACTGCCACTTGTGGCACGTGTGTGTGTGTGTGGGAGTGTCCTTGTACACGAGCTCTTGTGTCCTTCCATATTCTTAATTAGTTGCGCACTTGTAAGCAAATCGTTTAGTCAAGCAATTTGTTAACTGCATGGATACTCCTCTAATTTCTGAATCTAACCATTCTCCCACAAACGATTTTCTTCTTGTTTGCTTAGAGCACACCACTCATAAATTATGAGGACCCAAAGTTTCCTTCCCTCTTATTGGCTTATCGCAAACTTTGAATAATCGACAAGGAATATTATTCCCATTCGTTCTGTTACCTTTTTTCCTCTTTCCACCGGATTTAGTATTCTTCCCCCAAGGTATAACACAAATATTTAGCCAAGGTCAAAGAAAAAATATATAAAATATATATGTTGCAAAATAAAATAATAAAAACCACATATTTTTAAATAATTTTATATTCTAGATTGTACAATTAAAAATTTAATATTTTATAAAATTTAAGACTTAACTTTTTTTCAAAGTTTAAAAGGGTAAAACTATATACTTTACTATACTCTAATACTATTTCAAATAAAAATATATGAAATATTTAGGCTAAATCAGACATTTATTTCTAAAATATTTCTAAAAATTCTTTTGTCACCCATGCAGAAGTCCAAAATGACGCACAAAACTTCGTAAAGGTCAAAGCAAAGAGTTTGCTTAGGAAAGTTTTCATAGCCCTTGGCAATTCCAAACGCTGAGAACCAAAGGAAACAGCTCCTGGCTTCACTTCCGGTATCCTTCTTTATCCACCCGTATTTCCCCTGTCTTCAATCCAGAAAAGGAAAGCGCAAAAATTAAATTTAAGCTGATTTTAGATTTACGAAGCCCTGGAGGGGAAAACGGTGCAACTAAAGTTGCTGGCAGGGATTACCAAGCGGAAAAAGAGAAAGAGAAAATCCATCTGACAGACATGTCCCGTCTAATTTGTCGCGTGTCCATTTTGACGGCATTTTCACGTAGTTTTGCGCAATTTTCTTATATTTTTTCCACACAAAAGTTAACAAATTTTTTAATTAAAACTTTTTTGCTTGGCCAAGAATGATGACGTCGCGTGGCAACTTTTTCTTGGATCTTTTTTTCTTGGCTGAGTCAACGAAATTTTTTATTGCCCAAATATTGGCCATAATTAAGGCAGTAAAAAAATGACTGTACAGAGTGATAATTATTTCCTTGGCTCCCTAACTTCCAACCTAGTACATTCTCTTTCCTCAGTACAATTAGATGTTTCTATCTCTTTCGTCTTTTAATTTGCATTTTAATTTATGGCCGCCTATAACTTTTATCGAAGTCGTAGTCTTTGCCTTTTCCGCAAAGGCCAAAAGGTCAAACAGCTGTGGTTGTCCAACTGTTTGGACGTCATTCTCTTGGTTGTTGTCGAAGGCCAATTAGCAGGGAGGTCGAATGGAGGATAAGAAAGAAGGCTAAGCCCAAAAAGAAAACAAAGCACACATGGCAGGAAAAGGTTCTGAAATGAGGATCTTAGAAAATTTCCTATCTGGCGACTTAACTTGGGAGAAACTGGATTATTCACGCAGATAATAATTTAATTGCTCATTAAAAAAAATATTTAGCATAATGAAAATACATAAATTGTGTTTTTACGATTTTGTTATTATTAAAATATATCGGTTATATTCAAAACTGTCTTTTTTTACTGCGGCTTAACAATGTGTCCCTGAAAGTAAATAGTACTTTGATCACGTATTATGTAGGCAAAAGGATGATCGACCACAAACTCCATAGGAAGCGGTGGAGGCAGACCAACCGACTTTTTTCTACGAATTAGTACCCCTGCAAATTAATAAATGGCTAAACAAAGTGACTTGCCAATGTGATAACTACGTACCTGTTGCAGCTGCTGCCTTGGAACCCTTCTCATCGACCTTTAAATATGCTTTTTGCACGACTTTGTCAATCTTGATGCCAGAACCCATTACTAAGTCTTGAAAGTTCGCTGAAGGTTTAAAAGCTTCTCGGATGCCCAGCTGTAGGAATCGATAAAATAAGGATACTTCAAATTTACCAAGATACTAACTTTCTGAAGAATGGCCTTTAGTTGTGTGTTAAATTTAATTTTAAACTTGGGAAGTTTTATGTTCACAGGGCTTTTCCGCAGAAGAATGGATAATCCTGCAATTTGTTCTTCTAATTCACTGAGTCCATCGATTTTGTTGGGCAGAAAAATGCGCATCGAAAGACTGGAGTTCCTGTAGGGTAGTTCGATTACCTTAGCATCCAAGTCGTGCAAGTAGGCTGTCCCAAAGGATCCGGATAAAGTCATCATCTGGACAGGAACACTTTTTTCAACAGACACTTGAAAATCAGCCGTGTGAGTTTGGTCAGCATTGAACTCATGTTTCCATTGGCCTTTAAAGTAAATTGCATTCACCAAAATAGCGCTTAGAAATGAATTCATGTCAGTGGGAGAAACCATTTCTCGGATCTTGCCTCGCGTCTTATTGGATACCCAATTATTGACATTGGAAGCCGCCTTTACTGGATCATCTACACTGATCGCCTTGGCATCGGCTTTAAATGAGTTTTGCAGTACTTGATTGAACTCCGGCACGAGGCGATATTTTCCATTCACATATATGCGGTTTGCCAGATCGAGAATGACTGCCTTCTCACGCCCCTCAAGATTTGCAAAAAATTCAGTGTACTTGCTGACCAGCTCGTTTTTATCCTCGGGTAGTTTTAAAGTTTTCCTAAGTTCTTGGGCCGTTTTACCCCCTGCTGCCATGTAAACCATACTCAATGTGATCTCAACGGAGAAAGGTGAACTTATAAGGTTCTTTTTAGCATTCTCCTTAGCTAAAATTCGGTAAAAATCCTCGCTGAACCGACAAGTCACCAAAGAGACCAATATAATCAGATCTGTGGGAAGTTTATTAATTTGCTGTGGAAGAAAATGCGAATACGATAACCTACTTACACAAGTATTTCATTTGAAATGTGACTTCAGGCAGCAAGCTAATAAAATAAATTACGCTAATTTGACACGGAAATCAGCAAAATAAATCAATTAAAATGGAAGAAATTGTATTACCCTTTCAGAGGTTTATATATATAATGTCGTTATAATTCCAGCTTTGTTAAATAATAAATAGAACTTAATTCGATTGATAAAAACTCTCAAGTTACAATTATGAAATCTTTATGGTTAACATAAGCTGTAATAGTTATTAAAACCAAGTCAGTCTTCCTTAATCCAATCAAATTATTGTTATTTTTCAATACCTTTTTCGCAGCTCAACAAGCGCTCCAATAAGTACACCCATTTCCTCTGAATACTCTCTCCCAAACCCGTTGCCTCTGTCGCTTCTAATGAACACATGTCAATTAAAGCCGCAGTCTCGTGTCTCATGTCCATGGAATGATATATGTTCGCTAGTCTCAGTCTTCGACTCAGTCTCAGACTACTTCTCCAATTTTAATGTCAGCTCTGGCTCCGACTTGCACCGTTAAAATTTTATTTTATAATGTTAACTGCTTTAGAAATACAAACCTATATAAATGGCTAAGCAAATATTGTTTTTCCAAAGTACATCAAATAAGTGGTATCTAAAGGTATATTGTGAAATTGATTTAAAATTGGTATATACTTTTTTTAAAACAATTTTCAATTATTAAAAATTTATTTAATAATAAGGATCAAAAATAATTTTTAAATTAAAATTTTTATCTAAAATTTGAACCATACTCTTATTTTTAATTTTTATCATCAAAATTAAAATTACTTGTCAGTTTTTTTTTATACAAATTTAAAATTTATATTCCATTTATATGGAATTTAAATATCCTTTAAACGAGAGGAGCTAGGATAAATGAAGGACTTTTGTATGTTCTGCACAGGTTGAGTGTAACTTATAAATAAAGTTAAAATGCAGATTTGTTATGCTTAAAGTAATTATATTGGAGCTGAGCTGATGCTAAATCTTCATACGATGAATAACATATTTTTGAATTGCTTAATGATTCAAAACCAATGACAGCCGCTCATGATAAAGCGTTTTTCTGCTGAGTAATAAATAAATATTTTATCAAGAAAAAATGTTGACTTATAATAACAATTAAATAATATTTTAAGTTTGCAAAAAAAATTGGGTAAGTCAAACAAAATTTGCTAAAAAATATATTTTTAAGGATACATTTTTTCTCTGTGCAGATCCAAGTCTTGCGTGCTGTGCTGCTGCCTGTGTTACGTTTCTCTCAGTTACGCACATTTTCGCTTATCAGGGGAGTCCAAGGGGTGCTGAAAAGTGGGTGGAGGCAGGGGTGGCGGATAAAGAGGGGTAGACAAGCGACAGTTCGGACATGTTTGCCTCAAACCCCTCAAAAAACGGCGAACCAAAATGCAAGTGTCTCGCCTTACAGTCGCAGTTTTTCTCTGAGCCTGATTTATGTCGTCGAGTGTCGCGGGTGTTGCGTGTCTGCACCCACAAACCCCTTCACCTCCCTCGTATACTCTACACAGAAAAAAAAGATTTTTAATACATAAATATTTAAGATATATTTATATACAGTTTAGTTCTAGTTTTTCCATTTAATGGCATATAAGCAGAGAACATTTAACTAAAAATAGCTTTGTGTATCTTAAAATTAAACTATAGCTTAGCTTTTCAACCAGGCTTTTTAAAATTACGAGTACCAAATTATCTGCTTATAATCCTAAGTTTAAAATATAATTAATAACTCAAAAAAACTTGTTTCTTTATTGTTGTGTTAGAACGCTCTTAAAGCCTAAGCAGATTTAGGTTAAATTTAATACGAAACGATCAAAAAAGATATTAAAGATTTATTCCAGTGTAGTCATCTGAGACTGCAGGCAGTGCAGTTTGAGTTTTTTTTCTACTCTGTGGTCAGTTGACTGTCTTCTGTCGATTGGCACTGAAGCGAAGCAGGCGATTTCCGCTTTAATGTAATTTTGACAACGCACACACGAAGTTTGAGTGGTCAAAGGGGGGTGGTACTGGGGGATGATGTCAGGAGGAGGTTGCGATTCAGTATCGTCATCAAGGAAATGTCATGATAAATCTTACTCGCGTGGCCGAAACCGTTACAGTAGCAACCGCGAATTCGATTTCGATTTGGGTATTTGATTTCATTTTAAATCTGATTTATCACTCTGTAATTAAGAGATCACTTCAAGTAGGAAATAAGGCAGATCGAGACACTGAATCATTAACAAAAAGTCGAAGAAACAAAAACATAGTATTCAAATTGAGATAAATTTAAAAAAAGCTTAAAAGCTGAATGAATTGATAAAACAAAATTTCAGAAGGGTGATACATAAAAATCACTTAATTATATATAAACATTTATCAAGAATTCGAAATTCTTATGGAAAAGAAACGAAAAATTGGTGTGCCCATATAAATAAATAAATAAAATAATTATTTGTATTTAAATGCTTCTCTATTTAAAAAAAAATATATATAAAATGTAATAGGCTTATAAATGAGTATCTCATAAGCTTTGCAATATTTTGAATTTTAAAGTCAGCTAAGCCAGTTACTGAATAGTTGGTAACTTTTTTTTACACTTTTGTCCTTGCCAGCTCTCTTATCAAGCGATTTGTTTTGCATGTTTTGATTTATCTGATTTGCTGGATATTCGATTACCCGATAACTCGATTGCTGCGGCATTTAGTAGCTGTCGAACTGCTTTTTCCCCACTACATCTATCCCCCCATACCCTTGTGATTGCGTCCATTTCCCCATCCCACATTTAAATCCATATTGCGACGCCCCGAAGTCTGTTTCCTTATCACCCTCTTTTCGAGAACCATTAAAGTTCTCGGCGGTGACCCGCAGAATCGTAAACCCAGCTTTACTCATTGATGCATTGATGATACATTTAAATTCCCAGTCCTTCTTGCATTTATTTTTCCGATTACAAGTGGCAGAGGGATGGGAAAAATGAGCATGAAATCGGTTCTTAAAATGGGCATTTAAATTTTCCAGCACCTGAAAATGTCAAACGAGTGTAAGGCTGAATTTCCGAAGAGATAAGAAAAAAAGGTTGATGGATTGTTTAATTGTTTAACTAAAGTCTGTGTAGTGATTGATTGGAGCATTGAACTAGACAATGGGTTCTATTCATGGGGCGTGTTAAAGGGGGCGGATAAACAATAGCTGGAAAGGGTTAATAAAAATAAATAAAGACTCTGTATTAACAAATTACACCTAATTTGTATATCGACAGCAATAAAATAAAAAAGCGCCGACTTAGCGGAATCACAGCTTGGCCATTTATCGTCAGAAAAACAAAATTGAAATGCAAAACAAAACAAGTAATAACGATTAGGTTGAGTTCAAGAACTATGTATAAAATACCTAGTACATGCTTCAAAATTAAATATTTATTTTTGATATATCCACTTGTTTGTGTGGCTATCTTAAACTTTATACTAAGTGACATTCTTGTTAAAATTATCTTTAGTATGGGAATTTAAATGCGGAGCGAAGCACAAAGTGGAAATGGTAAAATAGTTTATAGACTTTCTTGAACGTAATTCAATACGATCGCCAACTATATATGCCTTTTTAATTTATGTACCGGGTATAATTAAAATAATGCAATTGCAAGAAATATAAGTAAATTCAGAAAAAAAAACTTAGCAATAAAACGTGCGAAGTAATAAAAACAATGGAAAGCAAAAGAGAGAAAGAGCAAAAAACAGCGAGGGAGAATGGCTCCAGATAATGCTGAGCTCGGTTCTACGGAGGTCTGTTCTGGGGGCTCTGTTCCGATTCTTTGTTGCGGTCAGTCGGAAAATCGAAGGCGGCGCGACGCGACTTCAAAACGAACCAGAAACGAAACGCGATTTTATAATTAAATAATGGAAAAAAATAACAGCATGATAACTATAAAATGATTGGTGATAAATGAAAAACCAGCTGAAAATTTATTAGGCTACCTATGTTTATTAAAATGTATCGACCATTAAATTATTGTAATCGTCAGATAATAAAATGTGGATGTTTAGTACATATTCAATCTTTTAACAATAAGTTTATAAGTAAAGCATATTAATTGAAACATAAAAAAATAGTTTTGAATGTTATTAAACAAAAGTAAAATAAATACAATTCGTTAAATGTTAAATGTAATTTAAGATCGCAGAACATAAAATAGCTTGTTAACTATGTAAGTGTTTATTAACATAACATACTGATTATAAATATATCGACTTGAAAAATGTTTTGCTTATAGAATGAGCTCCTACAGGACATTGGTTGATCATGGGCCCCCGCTGCTCGTGGGTGGCAATGAAATATCGTCGGCTACGAGTTCGCCCAAGGCCCTTCACCGGATGATCAAGTACTGGCGCAATAGCTCCGGAAAAATTCCCGGTCTCCGGAAAAGCGAGAGTTTCGCCGAGTATCGTCGCCACTCATCGAACTCCGCAACAGTTTTAGGAGGATCGGGAGGCAGATCGAGCACTTCAAGCGCTAGGCAGTTGCAATATCAGAGACTCGAAGATTTAGACCTGCTGACAGAACCACTAAGGTAAGTGGACTAAGCCATAAATATAAAACAAGGTTCTTAAAATTCGTCTAGGCAAAAATGTTAACTTAGGCTTTAAAGTTAACTTAGCTTTAAAGTTCGACAATTTAAAAACACTTAAATTGGGAAGTAGAATACTCTTTAGTAAGATTAATTAAATATGCAAATATATGCTTAGCCACTTACCTATAAAGCCAACAAAATACAGTAAGTAGTATCCATTGTCTAGCGGTATATCGTTTGATGTGTAACCCCAAAAATTTGGGGCATGCAACAGTTGGTTATCTGTTTTCTGGTTTTCGAAACGCCCCTCGCAGCTGCGGTTTATCTTGTGGTTATCAGCTGTTTGTTATCAGCCGCCAACAACAACCACAAGCATGTGGATAATGAAGAGGAGCGAACAAGTGCAACACGCCGCCGCAAAAGACGACGTCACTTTGTGGATTGCGTATGCATTTCGGGTGAGAGT